TTTTATTAATTACCTATAACACAGCAAACTAATTTTGATCTTTTAAGTAAAATATTTTGTAAATAATCTTAAAATTAGAATATCAGAGTATACTTCTACGGTAAAAAAAAAAATTGCTTTTTTTCACGTTTGTTATAGAATATTGGTTTCCCAAATTAAGATTGAGCAAATGCTTTGAAAATAGTTTTCCTTATTCTTAAAATTAGAAAAACGAAGCATTCCAGAAGCTAAATAAATTGCTTCAATAATATTTGACATTCTGCCCATTACGTTGTTCATAGACATCTGTTCCGTTAGAGTTTCACAATCCATTACATCTCTTAGGCAGGAAAAGCTTTTGACTACCAGTGGTGGCTCATAAATTACAGCAAATTTATCTTTCTCAAAAAGTTCCCATAGTAAACACTTATTCAAAATTTAAAATAATCTGAATCCAAATATTTAATACAAACACCCAAACAGCTAACAAATCAATCAAATAATCAGAAAAATATGATTTTTACAGCGAATTTTAATTAATTCCAAAAAAATATTTAATACAAACACCCAAACAATTAACAAATCAAACAAATAATCAGAAGAATATGATTTTCCAGCGAGTAAATGAAAAAGTTAATCTCGTATCCCTATAAGAAACCGAAAATACCCAATACGCCAAAATTTCAATGAGGTAGCTTTGAAGTGCTTTCCCTGGGTGAGTGAGTGAGTGAATATTAACGTCGCACTAATCAGCTACTTGAGGGATTCTGGCGACGAACATCGTAATTTTGAACCATAAACAAGATACGAAAACGACATCTGAGTTGGCACCCCCTCTCCAAACTTTGCTTGCCCTGGAAGTTCTAAATTTGGATCAATGTAACTACCAGCAACACACAGGTTTTGTTATATACCCAAGAACTGCAGCTATAACTGAAAATAATAAGGGAATTATTGGGTTCAGTAAAGATAAAGAAAGATTCTCTATTTATAGTTTTGTTTTGAAGATCTTTTGAATTCAATATAGATATTAATAATACGATTAAGTATTATTACAAATATATGATAAATGTCTTAAATTATAAAAATTTCAATTTTCTAATTAGATTCATTTTATAAGAAACTATAAAGCATTTGAAGGAAATCACTGTAAAGAAGTTAAAAGCTAAACTTATCTGCTATATTTTTAAGTCAATTTATATATTTATACTTCTATGAATAAAACTATTTTGATAATACTTCATATTATAATTTTTTTCTCTCACTTTTCTGATGCTCTAAAAATCTTTGGTAAAAGTAGTGAATTTAAACGGATCATTATTTTTTTTATCCTGAACATTTGAATCTGTTTCAAACAAGTAATATGATAATTTCAATTTTCTTGCGCAGTAAAAGTACAAATAAAAAATCCCATATTAAGCACTAACATTTATGTTAAACGGGATTATTCTAATTTTCATACTATTTAAGTTCTTTTTGTAAAATAATATGTATATGTCTATTTATAGAAATATAATTTTTCAATTATGTACAATTAAAAAAATATTAATAATTTAACCAAATCAAATAAATTAAAAACTATGAAAAAATTTCCACAAACACTGTACTATTAATTTACAAAAGTTTTAAAATTCACAAATGTTTTCCAAAATAATTTATTGCCTGATTTTTAAAAAATACGTATTTTACTGAAAATAAATGGTGATTCCGTTACATAACATAGAAATAATGTTTAAAAAAATTGTTTTAATATTCAAAGATAATATATAAAAATTTTGAACTGGGCTTCAATATTTTCTTAAAATACTTAAGAAATTTTATTTCTTTTTTAATTAAATTTAATTAATTTTTATGCACTAAATTTTTTTTATTTCCTCATTCTATTCATGTTCTATTCATTGTTTTTCATTGAAGGGATATTTGCCTATCTATTTGCATTTTGTAATAGATTTTGGTACATTATTATGAATTCGTTAGATTTTTAAACTTATAAACAGATAAAAATTTAACTGGCTATTGAGACCTGGCTTAACTCTTAGAAAGCATTTCTAATAACTTGGAATTAAATAAGACTTAATAAAATTATAGAGCTAAAAACACTTGAATAGTTAAAATTATTGAAATGAGCTCCCAATTTCTTTTATAAAATACAAAAATACGATTAATTAGTCGTCTGTTATAAATTTTTGGTCTAGTAAAAGCAATAGTATTCTGTAAATATCTATTAAATATCTTTATTAGTAATATTTACATATTACTGAATGAGTTCTTGCTTCTTTCTTTTCAAAAAAATAATTAACAGTTTTGCATTACATTTCTATTGTAACTCATATAAGTGTAAATAAATTTGGAGTTTTTTTTTTGTCTGAGATAACCGCATTTCAATAAAATTGTAAAGGAAATGATTGATTATTATCTTTTCAAATTTTTCAAATTTTATATTATAAGTCTTAACGTGCCACTGTTACAACTCCGCAGTGCTACACTACAGCTCACGTGCCGCGGGTTGGCCACTCCATCGTTACTTGATTATAGTTTAAAATTACAAAAAACTGTCACCAGTAACTCTTCTAAATGTGACATTACTAAACTATTAATCCTCCAACATAGTGGTTTTTTGAAGTAATAAACGCCACAATTATGAGATATCTCCAATACCTTTGTAGCTATTTTATTTGATTTTTCTAAATATTCCACGTCTTTTTAGAAAATAGTTGAGTATTTTGAAAATGAGGAAATTTATTGCGGATTAGATACGCGTTTCTATTAAAAACATGCATGTTTTATTTTGCCATATTTTTTTTTAGAAAAAAAAAAGCTATATGAATTTTACTTATAGTTAAATATATCATGATTGCTATCCTATTAATTCATAATAATCGAAAGATCGCTGTAAGAAACTCTTATGCTGATAGACATGTACATACACATACTCACTACATGACATTAAAAATGTCGCATAATTTGACCATATTTGATTCAGAATGATGCGCACATCAGATATGATTTTGTTTCAGTAAGATTCTCTACATCTTCAGTACTTATTATCGTTCATATTCACAACAGTTTTTCACCGAAAAACTGAAATGACAAAGGAAGAGATGAATCACATTTCCAGTATATCAAAAAAAAAAAAAATTGAGATTGGGTGAAGAAACAGGCTTAGTGGTGGTTAATTCATGTAAGGAAATAAATCATCCTTTTCCGGAATCAATTCGGAAAAATTGTGTCTCGATGGACCTTGGAAGTCGTGTCCTAGAGCATACCAGTTCTATCAGAAAAGAAAAGAAATCAATTGATGGGATGACCCTGTCATCAAGCACGTTTACGGTATCCGACTACGTTGGGAACCATGATTTTACAAAAGCGCATAAATGGATAATTTTCATGATATTTAGTGTCACTTAGATTAGAATACATGTATAAAATTGTTTTAAGGACATTTTGACAAAAAAAAAATATTTAAATACAATATTTTGGGAAAAAATTAACTTAGAATAATCTTTTTTAAAAATATTCTCCTTTTGTGAAAAATGCTTCTATTATAATAATATTTTGCCTGTATATAGATCAGACCTCTCTACAGAGACTCAACTAGAATTTTTGAAAGATTCATATTATTTTCAGAGTTACCACCGATTGAAATAATTATTGGCGTTTTTTTTCTTAAAATTGCTCCCCTCTGTCGTTGTAAAATATTGATAGACCCACTTCTAAGTTATATATTTCAAAAATTCTAGTTGAGCCTCTGTAGAGAGGTCTGAGCTATATACTGGTAAAATATTATTATAATAGAAGCAATTTTCGCAAAAGGAGAACATTTTGAAAAAAGGTTATTCTAAGTTAATATTTTGCCAAAATATTGTATTTAGAAATTTTTTTTTGTCAAAATGTGTCCTTAGAACAATTTTATACATGTATTCTAATCTAAGTGACATTAAATATCATGAAAATTATCGATTTATGCACTTTTGCAAAATCACGGTTCCGAACGTAGTCGGATACCTTAAGTAGTCCAGCGATTTCATTTTATTCCCACATGATGTTGCGGTTTCCATATAAGACTCATTGATGGAACCCTAGATCAAAATACTGGGCCCATTTGCCAGCTCAGTGCATATGCATGAAGAGCCCAACATTTCACGAGGTTCCCTTCTGACTCTAATGCTCCCATTGTTTCAAAGTAATTTAACCTAGACTCATCAATAGCAGCATGGAAATCGTGTATTACTGAGCCAATCAAGGGCTGATATGTATCTTTCATCAGTTTGAAGTCTCTAGATATTCTACAATCTAAAAATAGTTTAATACAAAAAAAAATCTGCATAACATTAGATGGAAATTTTTTAAAACGTATTTATATAATACCATTACAAAAAAAATTGATATTAAATGAAGGCTTAATTCATAAAAATTAAATGAAGATTAGGTATCCGTTGTTAGTATCCATATGTGTTGTTCTGCTACGAGATTAATACAAAAAAAATTAGTTAAAATTATTACCATTGAATGCAATATGGCATATAAAATGTAATAGTTTTCCTTATATGTAGTACAAAAGTTTTTTTTCTCTCTTTGTAATGTTTCAGGGTGTTTATATTGAAAAAGTGAAAAAAATAAGCGAAATACATTGAATGAAACTAAAACTTTCACAGATCAAACAAATATTCCACTGAGCACTCAGTCGAGGAGGAGAGTGAGCAGATATGTAACAAGTAATATTAAAGCCGTAAAAAAAATTAAAGTCAATTCCTACTTAGGTCAACATAAATTTTTTTTATTTTAGTTACTTTTTATTAAATAGTTACAATTAATATAAATATATATATATATATATAACAGAATCACAATATTTAGAGACAAAATAGAAAGCGATTTTCCTTGCAATTTTCCATTTTCTTCTCTATATATGGTGTTGGACTATCTTTTGTTTGTTTGTTATTATTTATTCATTAATTAAATTTAATTATTCTAATAAAATAGTATAGTTAAAAAATAAATCAAATTCTCAGCAATTAGGCCATCCTAGGTGGGATTCGAACCCACGACCTTTGGATAAAAAGTTCAAAAGCGATAAGCATTACGCTACAGGGACGCAACGAACAATTTTTCTTCTTATAAATGCTGTTGGACTATTATTTTTGTTTGTTACTATTTATTCATTTTTTTATTTAATTAATGAATTAATATTTGTAAAAACTGTATTAACATCAAGTGTCACCTACTACAAGTTTTAAAAAATGTATTTGAACTTGATTGGATGCATAGAAAGTATTTTATTAACGATTGAAAATTTGAACAAGATATATATAGGGAGAGAGTGAACTAATTGTAGGAATTCAAAAATAATCTGTCAGCTTAGAGTTCTTTTATAGTGCTCTATTTCTGTGATTTTCATAGTTTTAGTTCGATGTACCTTCTTGTCTTACACTTCTTGGAAAGGATTAAATGTTCCAATGAACTTTCAAAATCATACTATGCCCTATTAGACAATTTTTAAAATTTCTCATTGCTTTTTTTTATGCTGAAATCTTATTTCAGTAATTAGAATATTTCTGATCAAGAATATATTACTTCTTAACATGAACTCATTGTTTCAGCTATCTCTTATGACTGGAAGGTCAACAAAGTAAGTCCTTGGGCCTTTCTTAGCCATCATTTTAACTGATGTCCCCCTGACATTTCTTCTCCTTATTTTATCACCAAAAAAAGCTAATGAGTAAGTTTCTCGACGGCAATAATGCTTCAAATATTTTACTTGAAAGGGAAAATCTCAAATGATGTGTCTGTGTTCGTGACATCTCAATGGTCATGGTCTAAACTTGTGGTCAGCATTCTATCAAATCAAGGGTTCCCGTCTTTGTGCCATGAAAGACACGCCGTGTATATGAATTGATGTACATTAATGATGTTTCTAGAGACTCTCATTAGCACGGTGAAAGTGGAGAGTAGGTTACCATCTCAAGTGCCGTTCCTCGTCCCTCATCTAAGGTTCAAAATTATGTGATCCGTCGCAAATAGCTCTCGTGTTGTTTTGAAACGCAATGTTAATAAGCAATCTGACACTCCATTTCAGGCGTTCGAAATTACCGAATTATTATCATTTCATTGATGTACTAAAAATTATATTTACGAATAAAAAGAGCAAATTTATAACAAATCCAACTGCTATTCTAACGCAGAATTAATCGAATTCATTAGAAACACATTTCCTAGGTTAGCTATGTTTGTCATCAGAAAGTCAGATATATTTTCAAATACAAAGAAAAGTTTTTGGAGTTTTTACTTTTGAGACACTTTTTATATAACTGTTTCGGTGCATGTATCCTTTAGCTTTATTCTTCTAGAAAGATTAAAGATCACATTAGTTAAAATAATAATGTAGCAAAACAGAAGAATTCGTACCAAGGATGATATATATGTATGCGTGTGTGAAATTTTGTGGCAAAATATGGCATATATATATATAGATTAAATATTCTCAACCTCAGTTTTAAATTTTAAAAAAAGTATAGTGTGCATTTGCTACATTAAGAATAACTGATGTTTTAATGTTTCTCTCTCAACAGCGTTTAGCAATGCAAGGAAATGTTTATTAGTAATGAAACGAAAGTAAACGAAATGTTTATTTAAGTTAATTGTCATATATTTGCAAGACCTTAATTACTTTCCCTTAAATTTTATCTATTTTTAGATAATTAGAAGGAAAAGAAAAGTAGAGCATTTGGTTTTAACCACATTTATTTTAACTACTTCAAATGAATACAGCAAACAATGTCGTTATATTTTCTTATTCATTTCAATAAATTATTTCTGCTTAATTATACGACAAAGCACTTAAAAATCAAATAAAATAATATTTACTTCAAATAATTTTTTTCTGAAAACTGATAAAAAGTAAACACAAAATCTCTTTTGTGGCTTTGAAAATAGCATGGAAATACTCGTACTAGCACAGGGGGCTTAACGTTCTCTGTGTGGCTATTGTTCTCTCTACGCACGCTCACATACTACAAAATTTAATTAAATATATAAGGGGATAGAAATTTTTTTCTTTCATTTAGACAAAAGTGAGCATCTACGATTTGTAATAAACATTTACGAATAATGCAGGAAAGCGAAAACAGAAATCATAAAAATAAAAAGGTAGTGGCCAAAAAATAGAAAGGCTTCAAATGAAACACGTAGAGTCCAAAAATAAAAAATGCGTGAAATGAATTTTTGATTGTGAAGCAAGAAATTAAACAGATGAAATTGCAAAAACGTATTTAATTAGTGAAAAAAGATTTCTGTGAATTAAAAAATTTTTTATAGCATTTCTCTTTGTAAACCTCAAATAATTTTTAAAGAAATTGTAAAACCAAATATACCCTTAGTATATTTTTTTGTAAACAGTGAATTTCGATACATTATCTACTTTTTGAATGGCAGGTGAATTTCAAAGATTACGTTTTGAGGGCAATATTTCGTTTTAAACAATTTAAATGTAATTGATATCATTAACTAGAAATTTCCAATTTTCGGATATATTACGTTAATATTGTCACATTTTTAAAGAAAGTTAGACAAAAAGAACTAACAATGTTCAAAAAAATGTCTATTTTGAAATTATATAAGGAAAATAGCTTTAAGGTTATTAATGAAATGAAACCTATAATAAAGTAAAAATCCTTCCTTTTCTGCTTAAAAAAAGTCTTGAATTACATTTTATGTGTTTTGACTTATATCTCACGTTGTACGAATGTTGTGGAATGCAAACTAATAAATTAATCAAAATTTTAGAATAATAAAAAGTGATTCTTCTTCATATGTCGGACATTTTTCGAAAAAAAAAGATAATTGTTGGAATTATAAAAAAAATTGTGAAAATTGGATATCCTTTCAAAAGTTTTTCCATCTGATTGGCATGTGCAAGATCGAGGCCCACGAAATTCATCATGGCAAAGGGCTAGGGCAAAGGGCCTGTCGTTTTCCGTAGCTTTGAACACCCTGCAGGTGACAGTACGATTTGGCTCAGTTCCAATTTTGAGGGAGAACACCCTGGAGGTGGTCAGAGCCTCCCAACTCTCTTCCCTTACCATCAACCTCACGAGAGGACTTGAGGCTCAACGGCTATTAAACCAATTTATTGGTAAAAATGCCGTCATGGAAAGGGATTTTTCAAAGTGGTTTCCAGCATTTACTTATTTTCATACATGAACTCTGGAGCACGCATGGACAAGAAATACCTTTAAACCTTCAACAAAAATGACAAAAACACATTCCATATTTTATAACATGTTTAAGGTATCGACTACGTTCGGAAGCGTAATTTTAAAAATGTGCATAAATGGATAATTTTCAAGATATTTAGTGTCACTTAGATTAGAATACATGTATAAAATTGTTTTAAGGACAATTTGAAAAAAAAAATTATTTAAATAAAATATTTCGGCAAAAAATTAACCTAGAATAACCTTTTTTCAAAATGTTCTCCTTTTGTAAAAAATGCTTCTATTATAATAATATCTTGCCTGTATATAGCTCAGACCTCTGTATAGAAGCTCAACTAAGATTTTTGAAAAATTCACATTATTTTCAGAGTTACAGCCAATTGAAATAATTATGAGCGTTTTTTTCTTAAAATTTCTCCCCTCTGTTGTCGTAAAACATGGATAAACCCACTTCTAAGTTATATATTTCAAAAATTCTTGTTAAGCCTCTCTACAAAGATCTGGGCTATATACAGGCAAAATATTATTATAATAGAAGCATTTTTCACAAAAGAAGAATGTTTTAAAAATGGGTCATTCTATGTTCATTTTTTGTCAAAATATTGTACTTAAATAATTTTTTATTGTAATAATATTCTTAAAACAATTTTTTATCCATTTTCTAATCTAAGTGACACTAAATATCATAAATATTATCCATTTATACGCTTTTGCAAAATCACGGTTCCGAACATAGTCGGATACCTTAAGAGTTAACAAAAAGGTTTCTGAAATAACTTTTTTATACAAGAATGACAAACATTTTAATTATTAGAGTAAGCATGAAATTTCAGAACATATCCTTTACGATGTAGCAATGGGCTACCTGGGGGTCTTACCCTCTTTAATTGGGTTTTTCTCCCATCCAGCCAAATTGGCCTTTGAGCTAGAACAACTCAACCCTCGAATGAATGTCACTGCTAATTAGCATATAAATAGTCAGTGAGATAGAGAATAGTAGTTGCTTGTGGAAATTTTTTATACATTAAGGAGTTCATTAAATTCACTTAACTATGGGAAGATATTACAGGATATCTCTTTGCTGAGCTTTAGAGTTGCATCTAATTTAAGGTAAGTAGCGTTTAAATTAATAAGAGTAAATTATTGCAAATATCTGTTGAAATCAGTTTGTGTCCGATTTAATGGCTTCTCAATCCTTGCTGCGCTCATATTCCTCTGAGTATCTGTTTAATGAGCTTGATCTCCCCTTCATCCAAAACGAGGAAGAGGTACCACGACAACGGTATTGTTGGCATGGAAAAGTTTTCATAAAGCTTGAAAGTTTATTTTCCCATATTATAGTATTTTGACAAGGGTTGTTCTTGCACTGATTCACAGAAATAAAAATATCATCGATATTTTTTAGTTTTGGAAAGAATGAAAAATATTACTATGTGTAAAATTTTATTTAAATATTATAAACAAAAACATTAATGGGAGCACGATAATTTTATCACGACCGTCACCAGAGCCCTCCCTCTTCCTCCTCCCGCGCATGCGTATAAATTGCTCTTTGCCTGCGAATTTACTCTGATTCACCTACACCCTGGCTCTTCTCTCTTGAAAGTTTATCTATCCCTGTTATTGAGAATAAGAAGGGAACGATAGCTTTTGACCATGAAGTCGAAAGACTCAACGAAAATTATAGTGTCTTCTAAAATCAGTTGGTTTTGTAGTTACAGATTAAAAACACGATATGTATTATTTTCAAACAAGATCATGTTTCCTCCTTAATATTAACCCGGGAGCGGTAGCACGGGGCACAGAGTCACCCCAGGCTCACGAAATCGTTAATTTTGGGAAAACTGTTTATTTGTTACCAATGACCTTGTCAGTATCCTCC